GTCTGCCAAATTCTTCTCAAATCTCACAAAATTGAAAGAAATCACCTCTCTTTTTAGTCAAGTCTTAACTAGCTTATGATTGTCTGTATATGCTTATTCATTTTCAAGTGAAATTAATTTACAACACAATTACATATGTCGAAATACCTAGGACTGATTTACTTGTTGTATATAAAATAATCAATCTCTTAGCCATCGACATTAATACATGTTGTATCCAGTCCAATTCTAAGAATACTTCTCGATACAATGGTCTATCTTTTTGAACATAAAGTGTAGTAGGCCATCTAACATTAACACATAGCCCAAAGTGGACTTGATATCTACATTGTTAGTTATCAGATTCATATCGCTATACCTTCAATCGCATATGGAAATTTTTTATAATGAATTTAAAAATTGAGAGCTTGGCTAAGTCAAAAATACATAATACTCCTAACCCCTTCCTCACTATGAAATTAACGAAATATAAAAATGCCACCCCTCGCACTAGCTAGCGGCTTTTCCATAGTTTTTATCATCAATTATTGACTTGCTGACTGCTGACAAATAATAAGAAACAGTTTCAACAAATTCTACCCAAAAAAGGTAAACGATCTGATCAGTAGTAAAGAAGGATGGACTCGCCGCCGCCTGCGGCTGCCGGAGGAAACAAAGTACCACCGTCGTCGTCGTCAAAGACTGCAGAATTGGATGCTCCGCTGCACGCAATTGGCTTCGAAATTGATGACCTCTCACCTAATAAAGTCACCGGCCACCTTCTAGTCACCCCAAAGTGCTGTCAAGTAATAATCACTCTCATCTCTAAATTCTGATTTTACATATACATGTCTGTAACATTAATAATTAGCATGATTTTATTATGTGGGGCAGCCGTTCAAGGTGTTGCACGGAGGGGTGTCGGCTATGATAGCGGAGGCGCTGGCGAGCATAGGCGCCCACCTCGCATCGGGCCTTCGGCGAGTGGCCGGAATACACCTTAGCATCAGCCATCTCAAGAGTGCCCAATCCGGAGACGTTGTCCTTGCCGAAGCCACTCCTATATATGTTGGCAAAACCATTCAGGTATTGACTAGAACACGATTTTGTGTAACAAGTTTTCTTTGGTAGAAATTAAAATCCAAATAAATCAAATTCAACAATTAATTTTAACCGCACATTTTATGATACCCACAATTTTTTAATTACGTACTTTATCAACTTTTATCAAAATTTACTAAAAATTTGATTTTAATCTCTACCAAACAGAAGCTAAATTGTAAATTTGATCCGTTCAATGCCAAATTGCCAAACATGCACTATAACTTATGATCAATTTAAGGACTAAAACGTGTGATTGTTCGGCAACATCGCCTTTGTAGATTTTTCATTCAATAATGTTGTATGTACGGACAACATTGTCCCACAAAATACTCACAATGGGACCCACCCATATGAGTGTCTGGAAGAATTTTGTGAGAAAAAATTCTGTACAAACAGCATTTTTGTTTTCCATGTGGTTTTGATTCTGAAGTTTGGTGATTTTGTCGAGATAATACAAATTGATCTAATTGAGACTTTGCTTGAAGTCGGATGACCTCCAATAAAATTAACGTGCCTTAAAAGTGTAGAGCACGAATCCACGATCCTAAATAGTTTTAAGGAAGACCAAAATTGAAAAAATTATATGTCAACACTTGATGCCGAAGATGTCATTTAAGTTTCTAGTGATAAACATGTGCAAATAGTTCACCATTCTAGGGTTCTTGAAATGACATCCTCTTTGCTGAGCTAACAAGATTTCGAACATCCCACGCTCAACATTAGATCATCAAAACTCTTTCCCACGACAAAAAAATATCGTAAGTGCTCAAATATGTGTACTGATTATGATAACCAAACATGTCGACGCGCACACACATTTGGCTGTACAAATGAAGGTACATGTAATATAAGAAGCATGAATACGTGCATACTTATCGTATTGTGTATAAATGCATATTTAAATTGAAATATGCTTGAAGATGCTCTAACACATACATGATACGTATTTTTATTTATTTTATATTTTTAAATTTTTTATACGTATTGGAAATGTGAATAATAGTTTTTTTTTAACTCTTTTTAAACTCATTTTATTGACAATAGATGACAAAAAAAAAAAATTATGCATAACTTATTGAAAATAAAAAACATTTATTAATCGACAATTTTACAAAAATAAATGTTCCGTGAGATTATAAATAACTACACAGTTTACCCTTATTATTAAAAATAGATGTAGTATAAAATAATTGATAAATAGAGTTTTAAATTAATTGACAACTAGTGTTTTATTATCGAAAATAGACAATAGCATTAAAGCTTTCAATACATATAAAATCATGTTAATAGTTGACAACTATAATTTTATTATTGAAAATAGATAATAGTATTAAAATTTTAATACAGGTAAAATTCTATTAATAATCGATAATCATATTTATATTATTGAAAATAAATAGTTGTATTAAAACTTTTAATATATGTAGAAATTTTGTCAATAGACATATATCCATATATTCTAATTTCTTTAAAAGTTATATCGGTTTATCGTATCCGAATACATGATCATATCCATCTCATAATAAGTAAAATACTGTCTTGTTGCAGGTTTGGGAGGTGAAACTTTGGAAGCAAGATCCTTCCAAGTCTGAGAACAGAACTTTGATATCATCGTCTAGAGTGACTCTTCTTTGTAACATGCCTGTGCCAGAAACTGTCAGAGATTCTATAGAAAATCTCAAAAAATATGCAAAACTATGAGTTTAATTCAATGTAATGCATTGCTATAACTGTTAAATAAAGTTATCTTCAGTCAAATTAAACTGTTGAACAAGTCTGCATATAGCCCCAGAAGAAACCGCAGACTCTTCACAATTAAGGAAACTCAAATAGATTGTTTTTGTTCATCCTGCTAAATCCACAGTTTGACATGCAAAACTAGCATTAAGCTGTACGAAGATTACTTCACTGGCCCAGTCAACCATAAAAATGAAATTCATGATTCATAAACAAAGCTTGGTACAGAAGTAAGTGTCTAATGCTTAATCATTATGGCATATATAAATTGAGTAATGTCATTTATAGTCACGGACCATAGTAATCATCCCAAGTGACAGCTTTGAGGCATTGGTTTTTTATCTGAGGTAACAAAATTACATGAAAGTAATACCTTAAATAACAAGCTATCATATAAGATGACTAATGTAGTTACCGACTATGAATATCATTATTCGTATAAACTTTTTTTATTCTCACTTAGCAGGCTTAAAACAATAATTGCCCTAGTTTCGAAATTTGATCGCTTCCACTTGATGTGCCCTAAAGCATTTCTTGATTGGTCGACACCATTGAGAGCAGTAAAAGAATTAATCAAAGCAACTGGTGGTTCAAGAATGGCTATCCAACGAGCGCATTGAGAAATATGGCATGAAAGATGCCCAACATACTCATTTAATTAGGATGAGTTTATTGGCAATCCAGTACTATGTAATGGAGTGTCCAGGTCAGTACTGTATCACTTTGAAGGCTAAAGTGAAGCTAAATTGAAACCAGATCAAATCAAATTTTAAACCATGGACAAGATACTTCTAATGTCGCTAAGTATATTATACGTTTCTAGGAGCTAATGTTCTGTTTTGACATACATGAAGTTTATAAATCACCATCTTTAGATTCATAAATGGCCTAAAGTTGAGATTAAAACTTATATAGCATTTCCCTGAATCATGAGAGAAGTGTACCATACGCCTTACAGCTTTGATAAATTTGTGCTTACTCTATGAGATACGTTGCTCACCCACCAGTTTATGCTGGACAAATCTAGTCCAAGTTCCTCCGGTAGGCCTTCCTGGATCATCCAATGGATCAAACCTTCATGAATATATCACGTTTAACCTTAACTCAAGTAGAGATAATTGTCTTCTTCCTCCAGCTCCCTTCTCTCTGCTTCCCAAATTGTGTCATTTTCATCATGCTAGATGGCATATAGCTCAGTGTCCAAAGTGCACTCTCGCACCAATATCTAGTCTCACTCAAGTAAGAAACTTATTCGAAGGACCTCTACTATCATGGCTTACCTATGGATATCATTCATATTCTACTAGGAGGATCTAAACCTGGAAGGAATCCTAATTTTGTTTTTATTAGTTTCATGTTCCAGATTGTTTTTCAAGAAAAGTTTCACTCGCACGGTTTGCTTCCTATCATTATGGATGATAAGTTATATAGTACTTTCAACAAACATTAGGCCTTGCTTGACCCCCATTTTCTAAAACTTATTTTTTCCCAAACTCATTTTCCACCACACATTCTCACAAATAAAATAATTTTACACATAAATCCAAAACTTTTCTCAATTTTTTAATCACACATTAAAAAAAAAAAAAAACACCTTTTTTCATAAAATCTTTAATCCAAAAATCTCCACCAAACAGGGGTTAGAAATTGGATACAAGAAGTGTCTTAATTCTTTGATTGATGGGAAGATTATATAGGTGATACTTGGATTACATAAGTTTCTTAACCTGTGGGGCAATATTTGCAGCATATATCACTGAGTCGAGTTATATCAGCCTGGAGAAATGATCCCAATGAAGGTACTACCTTGTGGGAGTCTGGGAATTTAAATTCCAAAAGACACCCTTGTTCTAGGGATACATTTAGAAAATACATATTAATGGATTTTCCAATTCTCCTCTAGTTGCAAAGAAGTATACAAAAGCTACTGCCAATTCCTTTTCTATTCTATCTAACAAAATAGCTTCTATTAACATTTCTAAAGCAAGGGAGGATTGAGATACATCATAGAAATTATACTAAATAATATCCAAAATTAATCATATTCCCTTTTGGATTTGATCTCGCAATGTCAGTTACATCATGTAAATACAAAAGCCCAATATAGTTTTTGTATTTGGTATCCATTTTTTCTTCTTCTTCTTTTTTTTTTTTTCGAGTGCAAGATTTGGTATTTTTTATCCCAAATCTTTTTTATGATTTTTTTTTCTCTGAGTTCCATAACTTGAGAATTAATGATGATAGACCCTGTAAATAGGCACAAGATTGATCAGGCCAAGAAGATGATCAATTTCACATTGTGTCCAACGTTGACTAATTGAGTGAGAGCAAACGGTATTCAATAGGACTCGAGTGCCCAGCGAAGAAAGAAAGGCTAACCTGTAGTCTCTCTAGAACCTCAACTTGGTAGTGGAGACCAGAACTGAACAAGAATGCTTAGTGCTTACTAAAGAAAAATAAACACAACTGGATACAAACAAGTTACATCAACCAAATGATCAATTATGTACCAGACTACATAGATCATGTGAATTTCTACATGCAATTGTGAACACAATACATATAAGACTAATATATAATTTGTGTTTCTTGTTGAGGAATTATAATGGAACATAGACAGCAGAATTTATTGCTTCTTATCTTTCTTTGCACGAAGACTCCCGGACATCCTTTGCCTGAACAACCCAAAAATCATATACTTGCACTCACTGCTGATGCAATATGAAGTAAAACTAGTAATGGAATTCTTTGAATTCTAGAGGAAGATATTACTTGAGAATGCTAAGCTGTTGTGTCAAATCTTTGATCTCAAGGCTAGACAGTTTGAGGGATAACAAGGTTCCAGGCACCTCTTTTGAAACCAAAGCAGATAGTTTGTCCATTGAAGCTGCCAATCTTCTGAGATTCTAAAAACACATAGCATGACATAGTGATTGTAGATATGCATATTCCGATTAAACGAGTTACAAGACATGTCTTATAGAAACAGTGAGAAGAAAGGATTTTAAAAAGACTAGAGACAGAGAGTTTTTACTTACAAACATAGCAGGAATAGCAATTATGACCAAGCTCAAAATTGCTCCTAAAGCCTGAGAGATGATGCACACACAGAATCAAAACAGAACTTTTGTGATTGCGCTCTACAATTTTTAGGAAGTGACTAAGTATAACATACCATTGAGAGGACAAATAGGAGAGAAACAAGGCCAAATTCAGGGGATGGTCTAACATTAATCTTGAAGCGTGAAATTGCATCAATCAGTGGCTTCGGCGATGATGAATAAGTGTACAGCTTCCCAATTGGCACTGCAGATTCACTTTTCCCGACGGAGATGTTTGCAGCACGAGCCACGACTGCATGCTGCCGGGGCCGATAAATTTCAACCTTCAAGAACCGTTGTGGATTCGACGTTTTCATTGTAGATGTACTGAATATGCTCTGGCTGTGCGGCCAACAAGAGTAACACGGCATATTCGATTTCTCTGGGGACTTGCGTCGAACAATCACAGGTGTTCTTTTCTCAAACGGGTTAGGAACTGGAGACCAAATAAAAAACGATTGGGCCTCGACTTTTCTCAGTGTTCCATTTTCATAACTAAATTTCATATTTTATTTTATGTTAGTCACTGAACTTCAAAATTATTCCAAGTTTGTCCCCGAACTTAAATATTTGTTACAAATTGATCATTTCACATATACATGGATAAAATTTACTTATACAAATATTGACATCATAATCTAAGCCTCTGTAAATGATTTAAAAATTCAATAAAAAATGAACGCTAATTTCAACAATACATTAATAAATTTACACATTATTATTTACACATTTTATGAAACCAATTGCTACTCATCTTATTATTCATTTTTAAATATCATTTATTTATATATTTGCAAAAATGAGGCTAATTGATAGTTTTGTTAACAGACATCCGGATTGTCAACGCACTTTCTATTTTAAGTTAATATTTATTCGATTAGAAAAAGTAACATGTTGATATGTATTTGTGCCAACAAAGCACAGTGCGAGTTATGTAAGTATCAATGACGTCGTACATCAATCAAGTGGTAAATAAGTATAGCCAAATGGTGGATAGATATTATAGATATACTTCATTTACATATAAAGCAGGTAATTTAGGTTCACATAGAAAAATGGGACTCAAACATGCTCTTGATTTGATATTTTATGAAATCTCTAGAAGAGCTGATATTATATGATATAAAAGAGACAAATCTTATGTTAGTATTTTGTTCCTCACTGAATTTGAAAGAGACTTTTAAAATTTCTAAAGTCAGTGTGTTAATTAGCCCTTGTTTAAGACACTTTTGAAGGGAAATAATGTATTTTTAAATAGTGATTAATGGAGAATGTGTAGTTAAAAATTAAGGAAAAGTTTTGAATTTATGTATAATATTATTTTATTGAAAAATATATGGTTAAAAATAAATTTTTAAAAGAATGAGGCTCAAACAAAAACTTAGTATTGTTGTGCATGTGACTCATATAAAGTGGAACACAGGTTCTAGATCAAATGGGCCGATGTCGTCGCTCCGGGTTTAATTCATTGTCTAGTTGTTGGGGACCTGAATGGGTTGGGGGTGCAGGGGCAATGCCCCCGCGGTACGGTACAAGGGTATTTTCTGTACGGACTTTAAAGTCTTATATTGGCCCAGGCTAGGGTTAGTATAAATAATATGTTGTAACCCTATTTTTCACTATTGAATAAAAGAAATCTCCACTTCGCTATCGTGGACGTAGGCACACTGCCGAACCACGTAAAATTCGTGAGTTGATTATCTCTTTTCATCTCTTTAATATTGATCATAAAATCCAACATATTGATGTATATTTTGTATTGAATCAGAAGTTTAATTTGAGTTTATTATTTGGAATAACTGTTCAGACCATCCCGAGTTAATAATGATGCAAAAATTTATTAAAATTTTGAATGAATATTCAATGAAGAACCAAAAGATTCTTTAATCTAATGAATTTATATGAAATGCTTGTTCTCAAAGTATGTGGATGTTTGATGGGAATTAAAATAAATTTTTCAGTTGATTATGATAAGAGTTTTTGAAATGTGTGATTGAAAAGTTGTGAAACCCATTAAAGATTTTAATATTGATTATTTGATTTTGATTTAGATTAAATTCAGATTTTAATCCAAACCAAACAAGCGCTATATATGCAAGTAGACTTTTACTGGCTAAAACTAGAACTAAATTTTCTTTATTTTATGAAATTTAATTATGGTGATATATGGGACTCTATCACACTCTATCTTGATCATCTAATATATATGATACATCTATTAGATGATTTCACGGTATTTACAACCTGAAATTTGTGAAATTACTGCCCAACATTTAAATTATGAGAATAATTTTTAGATTATGCAATCAAGACATTATATCTTGTTAATGCTAGTAAGCCTAAATCTCAACCTTTTAGTAAGTACTAGTTAGGATGATGACAAATGATGTAACACTATTGTTAAAGACACTTCCAATCAATTTCTTAATCATTACTGCTGAGAATAAAGTACTTTACATTTCTATTTAGAAACTACTATTATGCATCATGCTAACATCAAGTTTTCCCTATTATAATTAGCTTATGGTCAGGACCTAATATTTTCCATCTAATAATTTTTTTAAGTGCAATATATGTATAACTGCTCAACCGTAGTACAAGTTTAGTTTGAAATCTTATAAAATATCTTAAATCATAACCGATGATGTATTATATCACGGTTGTTGATTGTCAACTTGATTGAACTGTTTTCTCAATATTAGGGAGAGAAATTAGTAGCCAAAAATCATATATAATGAATCGTATCATACTATCTATAGCTCACACTTGACAATAGGAAAGATAACTCAATTGTAAGATGCACTCATTGATCTATCAGAGATTAGAAGAATAAAATTTCTTATTTCTTTCGGATTTAGGATTTTTTGATTGAAAAAATCAATACTTATTAGTTTTGTCTCAATTTGTATTTTATAATGTCGTTATATGAGATGGAAAATCTCACCTACGATTCTGAAACGAAGATTCAGTTGGAAAATGCAATAAGATGTTTGGGGCAGTATAAGTGATCAAGAGGTAGTAACTCATATCATGGGAGGAAACTTTGCCCAGAGTCGGCCTTCACTTACACAATTTCTTGAGTTAGACCTAAACTAATATGGACTCAAAGGCCGATGACCTATGTCTTATGGATAAGTCAGAAGAATCTTTTGGATTTGAAGTGAAGAAAAAAAGAAACAACTTTGATCGAATGAGTATTCATATATTATATTTTTATGCAAACAAATAGGGGGGAAGAATACTCTATGGAAAGGTACTGGTTGGGTAAAAACCACTCAATAAATGAAATTTATTAAAGATTTTTTTCCTTTAAGCTATTTGAGAGTATATTTTTTTATTTTAAGACAACAGGTTGAGGAATCCTTCATCAGTGGTTGTGAATAACTGATTTTTTCAATCTTTTTGACCTTGGTTCCGTAGGAACAAGTCAGAAAAATTGAGAAAATATGTCTTCACATAAAAAAAAATATTTGTTCTCTCCTAGAAAGAATTTTTTTCGTAAAATCTCATCTAATAACAAGTAATAAATTAAGGTTCTATTCCAACACGCTCTTACGTCGAAGATGAATGGGGCTAAGCAATTTGTCGAAACTGTGGGATGTAAAAATACATCAGTAAGGGGCCTGGGATTGTAGTTCAATCGGTCAGAGTACCGTCCTGTCAAGGCAGAAGCTGCGGGTTCGAGCCCCGTCAGTCCCGACTGATCCAATAAATACATCAATTAATTTCTCCCTTTCTATAAAATCTCATATATCAGCTATATATAGATGCTTCATCTCGTACTACGACATATTAATAATAAGAATGTGAGTGTACAATGATGTACAATGATATCCTCCCCAACTTTACCATAAGTTCAATCGGCCCCATGATATGGTAAATGGAGGATATTAGGAGAAGCTGTGAGTGGGGATTTCCCTACAGAAAAGCCAGATGAGGAGAGACGTTCAGGATTGGGACCTTAAGAGTAGAGATCGGGGTTCCAATGTCAATGAAGCTAAGAGTTTTGGGGCTGTTGAGGAAAGGATGTGGCATGTCCACCCTAACTTCTCTAGATTGATAGTGCCAATGCCTAAACATGGGACAAGATAATGTATGAGACACTTGAAAACGTTCTTGATTATAATATCGAGAGATTATACCTTTCTCTGGGCAAGTGGGTATGAACCTCCACTCATAAATACTTTTTATGTTAATCCCATGGCTATCTCATTTCTTGTTACTCCCTTGCAGTTCCACAAGGCATGTTAAAATGTGGGGTAACACTAAGATAATTGTTCAGCCAACCTATTGGCGGAATGGCAAATTATTAACATTATATAAATGATACACCTGAAGAGAAGAACTCACAAAAAATGAGCAAATAAGAAAAATGGTTCCAAGAAGGCGTATATTCTTAGAGAGTATATAGATATAGGTTATAATAAAACCTTAGAACAAGTTCACATACTTGAAACATTGAAAGCAGAGATATCTCAGTAAGTTATGAGACTCTAGAAAAGAACAAATCGAAAAGGAAAGTTATCGACAACACATACATAATGAATTGTATCATATATAATAATGAGTAATCGAAATAATTTCTTCAAAGCATATCAATCAAAGAAATGATTGGCCAAATAAAATGACTCAATCCTAGAAAAATTGAACTTAATTGAGACATTTGAAGGTTCCAAAATCTAAAAGTATATACTTGTGAGAAAAATGAATTCATAAAATGTAAGGAACAAATTTCAATATTGTAAATTTAACAAAGACCATGATGGATGCAATCAAAGTTCATATCTTATTATCCTAACAATGCATAAAATCCAGAATCCAATTACAGTCAATTCATTTGACATGATTATTAATTATATTTTTGAAGTATTTAATATGTCTGAAGCATATAATTCAAATGATATTATCATGAAGGGAAGTAAGTACACATTGTATTCTTTTTTCTTGACTAGGTTTTGTTCCATTGAATTTTTTTAACAAGATTTTTAATGAGACAACTTTTGTAACGTGCTCAAAAGAATAATTTACTATTTTTCCTTTATTAGAATTTTTCCACGAGATTTATCATTATAAGGTTTTAACAAACTAATTGGCAGGCTGCGGGAATAGTCGAAGCCATACCCAATCGAAAAAGGATGTTATCCAAACGTATTTCAAGTAATTGTAGTAAAACTTGACCTGTTCCAGAGCTAAAGATCGTAATTTTTGAATGAGCAATTGAAAACTTTCGTTATTGGGTTAACCATACACTTCACATGTTTCTAGCGATTCATTTAGCATCATTGGATCATCTGTTCTATCTGTTCGAGTTTTGCTTCTCGAGAGAAGATGAGAGGCTAAAAATGTAAGTTACATATTCTTTGTGTAATGAATGTCTATATAACCTACTAGACATTTACACTCAAAACAATGCTTTTATATGTATGTGACTCTTAAAGAGGACAATAGTTATTCTT